ATCAACCTCAATGGGTTATTTAATGCCGACAAAATTTTTAGGATAGATTCGTATGAATAGAATATGTATTCTTTGGTTTTGTTTTGTTTGATTATTTTGTTTGGTTTATTCTGTTTTTAATGCAAGCTTTTTATCAGATTCAATGGGTTTGGTTTAATTTGGTTTATTTTGTTTTATGGCATATCAACAAATGGGTTTTTTAATGGATAACATTTTTGGATAGATTCATATGAATAATGTATTCTTTGGTTTTGATTTGTTTGGTTTATTCTGTTTTCTAGTTTTATCAACCTCAATGGGTTATTTAATGCCGACAAAATTTTAGGATAGATTCATATGAATAGAATATGTATTCTTTGGTTTAGATTTGTTTGGTTTATTCTGTTTTACTACATATCAACCTCAATGGGTTGTTTAATGCCCAGAAAAAATTTTTTGAGGATAGATTCTTTTATGAATAGAATAAAACTTAATGCCATTTTTTCGAAAAAAATTCGTATCAATGTATTAAATAACTCATTGAGGTTGATATGCCTTTAAACAAAATAAACCAAACCAATCTAAACCAAAGAATACATACTCTATTCATACGAATCTGTCCGAAAAATGTTGTCGGCATTAAATACCCCATTGAGGTTGATATGCCGTTAAACATAATTAAATCAAAACGATCTACACCAAAAAATACATATTCTATTCATACGAATCTATCCTAAAAATCTTGTCGGCATTAAATAACCCATTACTTTTTCTGCAATGTATGAAACGTAGCCATTCGTCCTTCTGTATATTAATTACTCCTTAGTGCTAGAGTTAATTGTCAATCTGGAGTTGGAATCTCCACAGACCATCACATTCGTGTAAATTTATACCTTATCTTGTTCGAAGATAAGATAAAACTTGTTGAATCTCCTTGAATCAGCGATGATTGGGCCTTGTAATTATTATGGGATTTATTGAAGTTTGCTTAAAAGAAATAATTCTATAATAATTATTTACAGAATGGGATGGGGGAAAGTGAATCCCACTTGAATATACCATCGTTCATACGGACCTTCAATACTTGCATTTCTGATCGTTTAGAACAAGGCTAGTTTTCTATTGGTTTATGCTGTGAGAAAAAAAAACTATTTATAAAAAGCGGATATTTGTGTATTCCCAGCACTTTTTTCATCTGGCTACGTGAAAACTGTCAAATTCTTTTTTCTATACAATCCGTGACAGTGAGAGTTCTTTATTGTTTTTGGGGGGATTCTTCTAAAATCATCTTTTAACAGAGACTTGTTCATAAGAGACACATTTACTACCTTTCTGATCCCCAGGAAAATTATTGATCCGAGTACATGCTGTTAGTAAGAAATGATGTGATACATTTATACGTAGTCGTCAATTAAGTTATTAGACAATAGGAATTTTAGATTCGGTGTTTCGTCGTTTTCTGTATGCCAGAATATTAATCCACCGACCAACAAATGAGGCATATTGTCTCGATGTATTTGTTAACACTGTTGAATAGCCAAGTTATTTTCTTATTGGTAGTGTTGAGTGCATTTAACCAATAATTTGTTCCTAAATGATTTCATTTATCCATTCTATACTTCATGATTTTAATTCTTCTATTCATTGTAGAAGATGCTTGGATTTCTTTGGCAGTAAGCGGTTTAGCATCATTTCTGTTTTCCCAACTTTTCCCGCAAAGGTTTTGTTCAGATTATGCTTCTAAAATCATTTTCTTTTTTTCAAATCGTTTGTTTCGTGCAACTTCAATCTAGATGTTTTTTGCTTGACAGTTTCAGTGATGACAACTATTTCCATCAACGATTTTGATCAGTATTTCTTTGATTCCGTAACATTTGTACCGTTTTTTTTAATGTTCTTTAAGTCTACAATATCAGACCTTAGGTCGTTTGTCTTTTTGGTGATCATATTCTGCCACGCGAGTTTTTGCTTCACATCAACTTTTTTTTTTCTTTTTCAATTTCAAATTTTCGCATTCACCTGTCAATAATGATTATTATTATTATTATTATTATTATTATTATTATTATTATTCCTTCGATTTTTGGTGTGTACACATTTCTTTCTGGACCCCGCCCAGAGACCTAACCTTAGAAATGGCATCATGTCATTTTCCACTGACGAATAAAAAATATGTTGTCTTCTTCTTCTTCTTCTTCTTCTTCTTATTATTATTATTATTATTATTATTTATTTATTTATTTATTTATCTATTTATTTATTTATTTTCTTTGGTTTCTGGTGTATACTTATTACTTTCCGGGTCCTGCCCAGTTCATTACTTTCCGAGTCCCGCCCAGTTCATTACTTTCTGAGTCCCGCCCAGTTCATTACTTTCCGAGTCCCGCCCAGTTCATTACTTTCCGGGTCCCGCCCAGAGACCTAATCTAAGAAATGGCATCAAGACATTTTGCACTTGGCAATTAAAAAAAGCACATATAGTTACATAGATAAAGCTCTTCGTAAGGTGTGGGCTGTACTCGTGAGAACAGGTTTTTGTATTTCTTTAAGACATGGGCTACTGGGAATTCCTTCAATGAGTCTATTGGAATCTTTTCCAATCAGTCCGAGGGCTCCAACTACAACAGGGATTATTAATGTTCTCATGCGCTACATTTTTGAGATTTCGATTTCATGGTTCCTTGTATTTTGATAGCATTTTGAAGATCTTCAAAGATACATTGTTGCCTGTAGGGACTTCCATATCAATAAGAAGGCACCTTTTCGTTTGCGGTCTGCAATAATGATGTCCGGGCGATTAGCTTTGATTGTTCTGTCTGCGTGTATAGTGTAGTCCAATAAAATTGTTACAGGCCCTATCTCCGCAACCAGTTCTGGGTGGTGTTCAGGCTAATTTCTTTCACTTTCCTTTCCGTAGAAGTTGCAGATTTTTCAGTGCAAATATTGGCCCACTTTAACATGCCGAGTTTTGTATTCAGAGTTTTGTATGGATGACTGGTGAGATTCTTGTCATGCCAATACCGTGCAACTTGATACAAGATGTTCAATTGTTTCTGGATAATGATCACAGAATCAGCATTTTAGATTAACAAACATTATTATTATTATTATTTATGCATGTTATGTTTCCTGCTTTGTATGCTGGAGAGCCGTGTCCCAACTATAGTCTTTATGGCCTATAGGAGAATTGTCATTTTATTTATAGTACTTTTCTTAGTATATGAGATATTCATAGTAGGGCTATCTTCTAGGCAACTTGTATGTTGATGTTAGCTGGGACGCCTTTAGTAAAATTTCCCATTCCTTTTCTCTCGAGGCCGAGAGCTCCGATTACTATTGGCACATTTACAGTCTTCATTCCCCACATCCTGTTAATCTCGATCTGTAGGTCCTTGCATTCGGATAATATTCTATATCAATAAGCATAGACTTCCTGAAATTTCTTGTCTTTTATGAGAATATCAGGTCTGTTGGCAATTATTTCGTTTTTAGTTTAAATCGGAACGTCCCAGAGGATAGTTACATCATTATTTTCAATAACTATATCTGGTTGGGGCTAATACCATCTTTCAGTAGTTTCGAATTTGGACTTCTTGCATACAATTGACAATTACTTTTTAATATATCAAACAATACACGGACGGAATAATAATAATAGTCTGTTTTTGTTGCATTCAAAATTTCAATAAGTTAGTTCATTTCATACTGTCTGATATTTCCAAGTAACGACAAACTCGTATATACGAGACGCGGAAGCGAAAATCGCGTCGCAGATCGTGACATTACTCTTGTCCACGCGTGAGTGAAAAACGAGAAGTATTAAGTATGGGAAGCCATTGGTTTAAACGAAAGGCTTCTATTATAAATTATAGGCATTTAAGGATACTTGGAATTTTCATGCAGTAATGGAGGACTATCATTGATATTTCGTCCGTGTGTTGTTTGAATTATTGAAGTTGTCGTTTTTTATAACGGCTTATGTAAGCCGAAAGCTTGGATTGGATTTCAACATGTATCAACTATAATGTGATTAAGCTTATCAGACAATATGAAAGGAACTTACTTACAATAAATAAACAAAACTTGTCTATATTATTTAATGAAACAATCATTAATATATATATATATATATATATATATATATATATATATAAGAGAGAGAGATAGAGATAGATATAGATGGAGTATTAAAGGATAACTGTTTGATATTCATTAATATATATATATATATATATATATATATATATATATATATATATATATATATAAATCAACTAATGGTTGAAGGATCATATACCAAGTAATTTGCATATAGTAATTGTTATGGTCCGGTTCCTTGTACCTCGGTGATAGTCCAAGGTAGAACCAATAAAGAAGAACTCGAACACAGGTATGGAATAACACAGATATATTACAAACAGGAATATATACAGAGAAGTAGAAGTGTTAGTATGAACCATCAGGGTTAGTAGAGAGAACAATGTAGTCTCGACCAGTATCACTATTCCAATGTCATGCAGTAATTGTCTGAACGCGACTCCGTTTCGGACTGCTTCTGACTCGACTCTTGACTCGACTTGAACTACTGACTCAACTTGAACAACCGACTTCTTGCCTACTCCTGAGGCGCCGTATTTATTAAGTATGGATTAGTCCATTATTATTATTATGGGTAAGATCCCATAACAGTAATGTGTATTCGTGATTGTGTATGTGTGTCTGTCTGGTGGAAGTTCTAATATCTTTGAATGCACCCAACCACTCTCGCCAATTCTCCTAGCTCCGTGACCATGTCTTACTTAAATTAAGGTGTTAGGGCGGCCATATTTCTTTTTGGTTTCCTTCACTCATTTTGCACGCCAGGCATATACGTGCTCACTTTGACACACGAGGTAAGTCATCTTCTCTTCTACACCTTTGGGATTTGATTTTTGCAAAGAAGAAAATGTCACATACTGCTGCAAAATCTGCGTTAAATGTAGAGATGCGTTGTCATGGTGGAATTGCTATTCATCGGGCGGATGAAATTCTGTCCCTTTCCCGATGAACCTCATCAAACAATCGCCACAACAAGTCACGGTAGTACTCTTTGTTTGCCGTCTGGCCAGGTGAAAAGTACTCATGATGAACAATGCTTGTCGTTGAAGAAATCCTTCTGCCGTATTTTTCAAATTCCTTCGACTCGTTCGTACTCTCTTCTGTCCCGGAAAGTTTGCAAAGATCGAGCTTTTGTTTCGGAATCATAGCCATAGAACCACGATTTCTCACCAGTTTCTCTGCCAACGCCACTGATGGAATCTATGTGGTGTTGCGAGAAGACCACACTCTACACACTTTCCCTCCAAGTTTTTCTATAAAAAACAGAAGTGAACGAGAACGTTAACTGTGGTGGCGACATACCTCGCCGAAGCAAGACAAGGCGAATTGTCTGTACACGTGCTTGTAGACATATAGACCTGCGAGGCGAACTTCGGAAAATCAACACTGAATGTGTTATCGGCGAGTATGAGGCTAACACAAACGAGAGATCTCGGTTTCTTGCCCGAGACAGAGGAACGATAAAAAGAGGTGACTTTTGGTTTCAAGAGAGTTTGTTCTTTGAGACTGGTGAAGGTTATACCGGTGTTTCAGAGAAAGAGCGATAGTAGTGTTGTTTACGGGGTGCAGAAAACAGAATCCCGAGCGAAGCGTTGTTCCGGCTTCCTCGGTAGCTGTCAGCGGGAACAGATTCGAGTGGAAATTTATTTTCCTGCCTCCCAATTTTTGTTTAAATCACACAGAGTTCAGGTTAATCCCGTGCCAATTGCTTTCACTCTGCTTTCTTTAACTCTTTTACCAGAGTAACAGCCTCGGTACTTTTTAATCAAAAGTTGTACAAAAAGTGGTGTACTGAACAGTAAACGTAATAAAGAAAATAAAATATCAGCTCTATATTCTATTTCAAATTTAATATTCATTTCATTTATTCGTTTTATTAATATTTGATTCATTTTGAAAAAAAAAAAATCTCTTCCTGATGTGAAGTATCAGTCAGTTATGTGCCATGCGTGATACACGCTTAGACGATCATGTATCTTTCGATACATTACTCACAAGGCAGACTTTTTCCCGAAGTAGGCTGCCATTTCTTTCTGCGGTAGACCAGTTGCCATCAAACGCTATAGAACTCAGTCTGCCCTGCTATTTGCCCAGAGCTGATTGGAGAAGAAAAGCATTCATACCTTTCCCAAGGATATTAGCACGTAAGGGAATGTAATGGATTGGACTGGAAAGTCAGTTAGTCAGTCAGTTATGTGTCATGCGAGTCAGTCGCTCAACTCTTGAGCGACTGTTCGGTTAAACTCTCTGTCTACGGACAGAGAGGAACCCGAAGGAGGCTACGCCGAAGGGCGGAGTCTCCTTCGGGGAGGTAAAACCGGCCCTGAACCCGTTTATACGGGATCAAACGGGCATATTTTTGGGCTCGGGTAAACCCACAATAAATAACCGACCTTGTGTCACATGTTGCCCCAGTGGGGGGGGGAGACTGAATACTGTCAGTTATGTGTCATGCGTGATACACACTTAAACGATCCTGAATCTTTCGATACATGACTGACGAGGCAGAATTTTTCCCGCAGTAGGTTGTCATTTCTTTCTGCAGTAGACCAGTTGACATCCAAGGTTATAGAACCCCGCTATTTACCCATCGCTGGGAAAAGAAAAGTATTCACACCTTTCCCAAGGGTATTACGACGTAAATGAATGTAATGAATTCGACTGGAATTAGAACTCGGCTCGCCGATTCCTTAATGCGAGCCACTATCCATTACTTCACCGTGCCTACGATGTTAAATGTTTCCTTTTTATTTCCTTTTTCGCTAAAATTTCGCCGTTGCTCACATGTTCGATCCATGGTATCCTCAGCATCTTTCTGCAGAACCATATTTCTGTTGGTTCATGTCTCTTTTTCATCACTGAAGAGATTGTTCGGCACTCACTGCCATATAGGAGGACAGATATCATACAACAGTTCAGTACACTTTTCTTTGTTTCTAATAAAAATCTTTCTGCTTCATAATAGTCTGCTTAGCTTTTGAAGGGGGCTTCATTTGCTATCCATATATTCTCTTTCGAATTTAAGTGTCGCGCTCTCCTTTTAACTTTGTTAAAATGCTGCCCAGATATTGAAATTGTTGTATTTGTTTGATTTAGCAAACCCAATTATTAATTTGCATATTGGGCGCATAAGTGGTAGGCCAAGGCGGAAATATACATGTGCTGTATGAAGAACGTACGCTACAGCGATATGTCATTTGTTATATTTGCTTCTCATAACAATATCTCTTCCCTTATTACCAAAATGTTAAACCTGTCTGTCTTTTACTACGTCAAGAACTTACATTACGCTGCGTCTGACCCAGAATTCATTATCTTTTCAGGAAATATGCTATTGCTTCATGAATATTTCATTTTGACTCGAATAACTTGATTATATGCATTCATCATTATCATACAATGGATTTCCAAACACAAATGCAATGTCCTTATTGCGTATTGGATTATGAAGTCCATCTTGTTTCATATATCAATCATTTGGATATCTATGCTTTATCAAGAATTAAATTATTTTCATGATTTTATTAAAGAATAACCTGGTAAAAAGAGTACGTGCATAAAGATGTATTTCTATGAAGAAATACGATTTCAGAAATAATTGTATGGTTAGCTAAGTGAGGCTGACTATATTCCAGCATTACCCTCATCGTTATCCGCGCATCATTCTCAATGTGTACTGGAGTGGAGTCCGCAATACAAGTATTGAATCTATACTGACAAAAGGTTTATCTATGCCTGGCAGGTCATAAGGCGGCGATGGAAGGCTATTTTCTCCCAAAGAAGACTCCTTTCGACCAACAGGGCTGTAGCAAGCGGAGCAGAAAGTCGTCACCAAATATATACAGAGCCTCTTTCAAAAATAATCTCATCTGCGCTACTCTGGAAAAAGATGCTGCAAACAGGCAGATATGACAATATCGTTTGAACTCCGACCTCACAGTGAGAGGATAATAAAAAAAAGGTTTTAAAACAGGAAGTCTCTGTGTTTGGTAGAGATTTACTTGTAATCTTCTTGCAGAAGTTTGATTGCCACATTCGGTTTTCGCAGACCATTGCTGTCATTGAAATAAATCTGGATACAACTGCTTGATTTTTTTTTATTTAAATCGTTTATATTCCTACATTTTTTTTAATTATTATCACAATTTTTTATCCGTTGAGCTTCCGGCCTTCTGATTTCGATTGATCCGGTAAGCTTCAGAAAATTTCCAGCTAAAACTTTTATTTTATATACAGGGGAATAGTGTTTTGTTTTTTTTCAGTTATTCATATTTAGCATAGCTAGTTACATCCGTGTTACGTACAACTAGCACTATTCTCACTGCTACTGAAATTCTGCTACCGGCCCCATGAATTGAAATCACAATCACTCTGTCATGAAATTCACAAAGTAACGTGTGTATCCACTGTGCTATTGTCATGCGGAATAATCTTGAAATTTATTTTGCGTTATATGCTTATTTTACAGTGGCTTGGTAGATTACATTGTTTTGCAAGTAGTTGCTGTTTAAGGGACATTCATTCTTTGCTCAGCAGTTACATGTGGATTTGATTTACGTTACTTGAAGGAGACACGTGAAAATATGGAAAAAAACTTTACAAACAAGGTGTTCAGCGTATATTAGATATCCGGTAATAAATGTGACGTTAGTGACGTTAATATTACGAACGCAGACTACCCATATAGAGAATACTGGTACTTCAGCACCGGTTACGATGGAGTTATCATGTGCTCAGTGTTAATGACGATAGGATCCTTAAGCAGTTTGTGTCTGTTGAATTGGTTGAAGGAAAAAGACAAGTGAATAGGCCGAAATTTAGATATAAATTTTCATTAAGATTACACTGAAGAAGATCAGTTTCATTGGTGTGGAAAGTACTGCATAATGGTAACAGAGACGTTCTTGCTGTGTCTGAAAAATCCAAAGATATAAGTATGGGTCTTGACCTCAATTTCGCTGAAGAAGTTGCTACAAAATTTGATCTAACAATAAATGAGACTACTTCTCACTAGGACTGGTCTCAACAAACATCACAGACGCTGCACATAGAGAGAAGGAATTAATTATCCGTTATGGAGAAAAAGACGACCAATATTGTCATATATGCCCAAGCCAACGTAACCCCTCAGAAGAAAAAAGTTCACATCCACGCTGATCATATTTCAGGATGCATCCAGCGATTACACTGCTATTCAATCCATGTTGCTCAGGCACCTTTATGCTTGTTCAACAACTGAAGAAGCCACCTGTGGTTAATACTGCAACTATACTCAGCAGACCTTAGTTACTGTTTTTGGGATAGACCTTATAGTCTGGCACTAACAGCAGTTTGAACAACACCAGTATGCGCAAAGCCTCGGTCACGATGACTTGGTACTTTATGCTAGTACAAAAATATACTACTTCCAAATACTTCCGTCTATCCAATTTCAATCGCAAGGATGGGGTCAAAACATCAAGCAATTACTAAAGGTGGCGCACGCTGTGATCGCCTACGCAGATCGATAATATCAAAAATCCACCTTTCTGACAAATCGAACACAGTGTAATTCGAACCTGGATACCATGGTCGGAACGCAAACACTCTAATATCTCTGTATGAATAAAGTTATACTAATTTATTACTGAATCTCTGGGAGGAGGAGTTATCTGTGTTTACCTTATTCATATTTTGTACTCTTCAGTTACTGCTTTACTGTTTCCAATGAGTTCAAGCATACAATGACCGATCCGCCTCACAACTACTATGTCACCAAATTCACAAACGAACGATTTTATCCACTAAACCCCTACACCGTAGCCAGTGTGTACTCGCACTCAGTGGAAACGGGTGAGCATAACTGAACAGTGTTAAGTAAATAGAAGAAACTAAACGATATACTAATACATCAGCAATGGAATAAAGGATGCTGAGTTCAGAATTTCCTGTAGATTAACTGAGGAATTGCTGAGGACACAACAGCCGAAACGTTGAAAACAATGCTCCGAATGTAAATAGTGTAAAGTTATAGTGAGATTAAAATTAATGGAAACAATTTAGTTTCTTTTTTAAGAAGAAATTCTCACCGTTACAGAGATGTCTCCGATAATATTTTCGTGATAGCTATTCGTTCTAAATATATGCGTGAGTGTATTCGTATTTAAGAAAAACATATTAAGCGAGATGAGAAATGGGAAAACTAGTCGAGAAAATTATCTTGTCCCAGATGGATTATTTGATATTCGCATGAATAGATTCTCAAATTTCGTATTTGTTTCGGACATTTTATACTGCGATCAGATAATTACCTTTACAGAATGTAAATGAAGGAGTTCTACGCGATACATCTTGTTAATAATTCAAATACATTTATCTACTGACTGATAAAAAAAAATATATATTCTGTATTTTTGTTCAGAAAAGAAAATCTCAAATGGGAATATACTGAGGCGATTTCCAAATATGTTAAAATCTTCTGAAAATTGATTTCCAGAGTTCACGCGTGAAGCAGATAAACCATTTGCTGGATAGATTGTATTCTTGTATTGATGGCAATGCTCTGCTGCATATTAAGCAAGTTGTCGAGGTGACGATGATGAAAGTGTTCGAGAAGGTGTAAATGCATCTGCTACACTCTGCATAATCAAACTCGCATACCTAACAACATTGTTTAAGCCTGATTAAGCCAAGAAATACGAGTCGGTGCTGAAAATATATCTTACAGTATAAGACAACACTTAAAAATGTAACTAATGTGTGATAATTAGACGAGTTTCACGAAGGACGAGTTCGGAAGACACTCTTCTCCATCCGAAGGCGTATTGTGATAGCGAAATATGCCTTCTAAACGTTAAGCAAAGTATTAAGAAACAGAAAAAATTCATTGGAAACAAAGAAAAGAGTACTGAACTGTTATTTTATATCAGTCCTCTTATAAGGTTAGTAAATTCTAGACAAGGAACTTGAAATTACAGCAATGTGGTTCTACAGAAGGATACTAAGAATGCAAGGAACTGAACGCGTATGCAACGACGAAGCAACGTGGCATCGGAAAGAGACGGTATAAATTTCTAGGGCACATAATGAGGAAAGAGGGTTTGGCAAATTTGATACGCACTGGTTATATTGAAAGCAAGAGAGCCAGAGGAAAGTAACTACTGACTTATCTAACGACCTTGGTACAACGAGGGTTTGGATATAAAGCAAAAACTGAACTTTACTAAGGGTTACAACAGACTGTAAATGCAAAGAGTCAGGATAAGCCACGTGTTAAACGGACAAAGCACGTAGAAGAACTTGAGCGTAGAACTTTAAAATATGTCTTCGCACACACACACACACACACACATGGAATCGCGATTGGCTCGCCATTTCGTATGACTTGGCTCAGGATCGCCGTGCATGATGATCCGTGATGCTGTACTTGCTCGGGAGGAAGCCGGTTCAACTCGATCAGGGTGAAAACCGATACAAGTCAAGACATGATTATAAACAAAACTGTAATACCTCAAATTTTCATCAAAAATTCATGTATATTTCCCACAAACGATAAAACAATGGATTTGAAGGAATATGGAGTGATGACCGCAACTAAATTTGCTTTTTAATGTGAAAAAGTAAGACAAAACAGAGGTATATAACAGGGAATAAGGTAAAATGCTTAAAATGTAAAATAAACTGAGGGTTCAATGTCATACTTATACACAATCTATCCTTGATATATTGCAAATATAGCATGCGTTAAAAATATATTTTATCATATATATATATATATATATATATATATATATATATATATATATATGAGAATACAGGGTTGGTGTAGATGTAATAAACTTCCAGTAAGCAAAGACACTATTTTAAAAATAAATGCTCAATAGAGTATATAGGGAAAATAATATTTATTCAAAAATTATAACATACGTATGTTATAAACTCACGACAAAAATAGTTATTTTGTTTCAACACTTCGGGTGTCTTATCAAATGATGGTGTTGCAAGTAAAATAAATTTAATTACTTGCAACACCATCACTTGACTAGACACTCGAAATGTTGAAAACAAAATGCCTATTTTTGTAGTGATATTATAACATACATATGTTATAATTTTTAAATATATATATATATATATATATATGGACTCTCCCGTCGAATTCGACGTGTGATGGTCAAGCAGATCAGTTTCTAGGAAACTTACAGACCGTCAACAGCACATGAGATTTGATTATAGTGGTGAATGTTTTGTGCAGAACCATCCACACTTTTTGAAGGGTCAAATACAGAGACTTGGTGCATTACGTGCGACAGAATTCCCAAACGACCCTTCGCAGGTTTTGAATTCACAGTTGTCCTTCTCCTAGGTCAGTTGCCATCCAATGCTATAGTTCGAAGGAGAAGAAGAGGATTCACCTTTCTCACTTTCGTAAGTGAAATGTAATGGATTCGACTGGAATTCGAACTCGCCTCTCCGATTTCTCAATCCAAGTCTCTATCCATTACTCCACCGTGCCTTCTCTATAAATGTAAATTGCGTCTAGCATGAAACAACCTATTGACTTCAATGTCCACAATGCTTCAACTACATCCTTTATTAAATTCTTGCTCTTTTGTCTATATAGCGGCAATAACTTATTCCTCGTGTTCAATACATAAAAAAAATTCTGTACAAAATCAGTAATTATTGATAAGGCAAAAATAGCATTCAACGGTCCGGGTACTGGCTCTTTTTGTAAATAATTATGACTACACCTTTCCATTTATCAATAACACTCAGTACAAGACAGAAAGGACTGTACTGACCTTCTAATTTCTATTCGATAAACGTTTTTTGTTAATTGCAGAAGCACTCCATTCACCTTATAAAATACTCATATTTAATACTTAACTTCGCCACTACTGACTTACAACCGCTTCAAATATAATATCACGAGACAAACATTTTCGTTTTAATGGGCACCCCTTCTGAAGTCTAGTTTCACGCTCCTCAACTTGTTTTCTACTGTGATTTACCATTAACTTTTCCAGCCTTTAAATTGTTTTATTAAATAATTATTATAACAGAGACGGGTTTATTAAGTATTAAGTGTTTAGTTTTAAAAAGCCTCCTTGTCACGTTTTTGGTGTTAGCTTTATAAGCGGGATTAAACGAAATTTTACATTTTAATATTTACATGATTGCTGACGCCATTATATTTCCACACAAATTTTTAAAAAATGACATCTGAATTAGTTGCATCCAACCACCGCTGAACTGCTTATTATAGAATACTCTAAATATTATTTTCTTTCTAGATTAGCACTGCCTCAAGATAGCTTACAAAATAAATGACCAATAACTTATTTTTGTTTTAAATTATTTTCAGTCCAGAAAGTATTATTTTGTCGCAGAGACAAACAATTTTTTTTATAATTAAATTTTGTTAGAATAGATATAAAAATTTAAAAAATGTATTACTATTTAATAGCACGGATGAAGTAGTTTCTATCTAACTCAATCTATTCATATCTATCTAGCTATCTGTTTATTCCGTCTATTTTTATCTATCTGTCTAGATAGCTAGCTATCTGTCTATCTATATATCTATTTCAGTCTATTCATTATCTATTTATCTATCTATCTCAATCTGTTCATATCTATCTTTATATCCCAGTCTATTCATATCTATCTATCTATCTATCTATCTATCTATCTATCTATCTATCTATCTATCTATCTATCTATCCCTGTTCATATATATCCATCTCTTAATACCACAGACTGTTAGTATCTATCTATCTATCTATCTATCTATCTATCTATCTATCTATCTATCTATCTCAGCCTGTTCATATATCTATCCATCTATCTTAATACCACAGACTGTTAGTATCTATCTATCATCTATCTATCTATCTATCTATCTATCTATCTATCTATCTATCTATCTATCCATCTATGTATCTTAATACCACAGACTGTTAGTATCTATCTATCTATCTATCTATCTCAGCCTGTTCATATCTATCCATCTATCTATCTTAATACCACAGAGTGTTAGTATCTATCTATCTATCTATCTATCTATCTATCTATCTATCTATCTATCTATCTCAGCCTGTTCATATCTATCCATCTATCTATCTTAATACCACAGACTGTTAGTATCTATCTATCTATCTATCTATCTCAGCCTGTTCATATCTATCCATCTATCTATCTTAATACCACAGACTGTTAGTATCTATCTATCTATCTATCTATCTATCTATCTATCTATCTATCTATCTATCTATCTATCTATCGCAGCCTATTGTTATCTGTGTGTGCGCGCGCATGTGTCTGTACAAAATTATATCGTTATTAAGTAAGAGGGTTCATCTAGTAAATTCAGATAGATTTACTTCATAAACTAACATCTTTCGGGAAATCAACTTTAAATGATTTCATGTCAAATCGTCTCTCAGGAAAAACATAACAATAACAATACTTTGTTCCCTAGTGAATGAACTTCATAATCTGATAAACCCTCTTGTCGTGGTTAGTAGTCATTTTATTATGTATTTATGCATACAAACGCATATATATATATATATATATATATATATATATATGAATACATTGCGTGCCAAATTATTATCGAGATAACTTTTTTCTAATATTTCAAAAACTGTCCAATCAATTCACACAAATTTTTCATACAATATTGGCAACAATGACCTGCGCAATCACTGAAATTTTCGTACTGATCTGCGCAATGTAAACAAACTGGTGCCATATTTGTTATCAGCACGGTGATTTGAGCGTGCCAAATTATTATAAAGGTTTAGTAAAATTCCCAGAAGTGAGCAAACAAAACGTTTATTAATGTTGTACGTGAATGTTTATGATCAAAAGAAGCTAATAAATAAGATAATCAAACAAATAATAACAGATGCAAACAAAGGCACAGTTTTAAACGAATTAATACGGAATGTGCTTTCCCTGTTTTGAAATTACTTGAAGAAGTCGATGATCCATAGAATTTGTTAATTGTATGATGACATCTGCTGTAATGCCACGAGATATGTCAAGAATTGCTTTCCATAACTCAGCGTTGCTTCTGAATTGTCGTCCGTTGGCGTACAGTGTTCGCTTCATGATGCTCCAAAGGTTTTCGATTGGGTTCAGATCCGGAGAATTTGCTGGCTACTTCATTTTTCGAGGTCCATCGAAGCCTAAATATCCAGTAGTCTTGTGAGCAGCATGTGAGGGAGCATTAACTTGCATAAAAACAATGGCCCTTCTGAAGGCAACTCTTTGCCTTTTCATCCACGGTTCAAGATGCTCCTTCATAAACGCTATGTGTGCATCAGCAGTCATTTCGACGCCATCTGGTACTCTCCATGGACCCACTAATGTTTTTCCAATAATACCACCCCAGATCATTTGCCTCCACCGCCTTGTTGGCGTCTCAAACGCTGATGTCGATTCTGTTCGTTCATTACCCAGCCTTTGCACCATCTTCTTTGGTCCATCACGTGTTGCTCGAGTTCCATCTGTGAACAAGATTTAGAGCAGTCAATCTTCATATTTTCCTCGGCCCATTTCAATCGATTTTGAATATGATTTCTCGTCAACGGAGGCTTCGATACAGGTTTGACTGTTGTTGCTATTTCCCTCAGATACCGACACCGAGTACTTTTAGACACAGTAGGATCCCTAATGCGACTGAAAAGCTCTTGACTGGTAAGTCCAGGGTTCTTCGTGGCCTCTCGTTTAAGTCGTGACATGAAACGACGTGAAATAACCCTCAGCTTGCCTTTATCTGCCCTTTTTGCGTACTTGTGTAGGGTTGGCGGTTAACTTTTTCACTGTTTGATGACACCTCCCTATCATTTTAGAAATTTCTAGTGTAGATTTACCTTTTGAGAGTTCTGAGGTGATAGTTTTCTTTCAGCATCACTAAACTGCTTTTTACGGCCTATCTTTTCACTAAATTTATACTTTTCTAATAATTTGGCGTTCAAATCACCGTGCTGATAACAAAATTTCAATGATTGCGCAGGTCAGTGATACCAACATTGGGTGAAAATTTCGTGTGAATTGATTGGACGGTTTTTTGAAATATTAGAAAAAGTTAGTTATCTAATTAATAATTTATATATATATATATATATATATATATATATATATATATATATATATATATATATATATGGAACTCAAAATTCAAAAATATAAACACACTGTCAATCGCCATCTATCTTTTTGAACTCCGTTCATATTTTGTCTTTTCCACAATCCTCCCTATTCTCAGTCTTTTCTCTCGCTTTCACTCTATGTAACACTCTGTGTACTAGTGGCACTACCGTCTTGCTTGGGCTGATATGATTAAATAATCTCTCTCTTTCTCTTTCTATCTATATATACATAATACATTTATATATATATAATTTTTTTTTAAATTTATAACATAAATATGTTATAAATTCACTACAAAAATAGCCATTTCGTTTCAACAACTACGGTGTCTTATCAAGTGATGATGTTGAATGTAAAATAAATGGTTTTAAAAGTTTCATATTAATTAAAGATCCTTCGAAGGGGAAAACGTTGTTACAAAAGCTAGAATTACCAATCAAAATACAAGTATAGGAAAATTCAAAGAGCTTGACAATGAAGTCATGTTATAATAGCTATTCAGATCTTTAAAATACGGGTAATATTAAAAAAGAATTCATTCTAACCAATAATTATTAAATTATATGATAAATTTTGATATTAAAATTAAAAACTGCCAATTTTAAAATCCAAATTTAATCACTATTAAGTTTAAAATTATAAAATTACCGAGGAGAAAAGAGGAAATACATATGTTATTCAATTTACTTCTTCGTTGAAATTACGTTAGAATAGACTCAACGTCATCCTGTCCTCCGACAATATATATGTATACATTTAATCCGAAGTGTGTGAATGGGGTCCTAAATTCACGCGTAAAACAACACAAACACAATCAGATTATCATACATAAGCCCCCAGACTTATTTAGATATATATACACACAAAAAAGTGACGAGACAGGGAACATCTCCACGGCCCTTTATGGAAAAAAGGGGGGAAGCCAACACATACATACATACACAATTAAAAGTGAATGCACTTTCCATACACATAGACACCGATAAATACATGTACACACATCCACAGACATTATATACTTGTATATATATATATATATATATATATATATATATATATATATATATATATATATATATATATATATATATATATATATATATATATATATATATATATATATATATATATATATATATATATATACTTGTATATAATATATATATATATATTTGTATATAATATATATATTATATACTTATATATATATATATATATATATATATTATATATATATATATATATATATATATATATATATACTAATATGTTTTTATTGATATTAATTTAAATATTATAAAATAGCTTTTTAATCATAGCATTCCTTTCGTAAAACGATAAAAGAACAGTAAATGTAAAAGAAATGTCCATTTTGAAAAATCGATATGCATGAAACTGTCTGAAATTGGGTAGCTAAATAAAATGCACACATACAAAAATATATTCCTTTTTTAATCTGCATCACCGCGTGTAAGGAAGTCATTAATGTCACTAAGACATACGGGTTACAAGGTGTGGAAGATTTAGGAACAGAAATAGTATTAATAAGTGAGAAGAGGAAAGCGTAATTAGGAGGACACTAGATACTAATTGACATTGCATTTAACTTTTTGCAGATTTTAGGTGGCTGGAAAGCATGGAGCTGGAAGGGAGTTCTACAAGCGAGAATTGCGAGAAAAGAACCTGTTAGCATACAATTTACGGCTACAGCTAGACGGTTCAACTGTAAATTGATGATATCTCATTTGCAGTCTAGCATTAATTAAAATTTTAAAAATAATCTACGTACCATAGTAAAGAGCTCATCCGAACAATTACCATGAAGTTATTTATAGAAGATACACACGGAGACAAACTTACGGCGGTAGGAAAATGACTGAAGCCCAGCCGATATATCAGGGTCAATAATGTCGCTGATTCTTCTTCGGATTTTATCAAGAAGGTCAATGTAAATAGCAGAGGCCCTATACCAGACGTGGCAGCAATATTCTAAGCATGGACGACTTATAGATATGTAAGATAGATAGATAGATAGATAGAGAGAGAGAAAAATTGTCTAGTAAGACAGTGAAGCAAATTACTCAAAAGCTAAGCTAGCAATAAATTCAATATCGCTGACATGAAGTGAAAAGTCTATTTCTATATTTGTGAGATGAGGTATTTACATTATTTGGACTAATGTCCTCATATTTGTCGCCATATTTATTACAAGCTTTTGGCTGTTGTACGCTTCGACCTTCTTCAGGTGGTTAGAATGTCGAACTGAACTCTTTATTTCGCTCACTGGGGTAGATTGTTCTAGTTCCACGTGCCATGTTTAATGGATGACAGCTATCAGTTATTTCCTGTTAATTACCCACTCCAAGTTGTCCACTGCCTTAACTGGGTATTGAACTCACACTCTTTGGGTCCTGTTACTGGATCTAACCAACGCCTTTATCCACTCTGCCATGTGTCCTTGAGGACCTTCAGTATCTGACTATATTTCTGAGATGAGGTATTTTGTACAGTATTTACATTATTCGGACAATAGTCCGAATAATGTAAATAGTGAAACAACTATATTGAATCCTTTGCTAGGTCGAGAAGGCGGGCATAGACTTAAAGAAGTTTGATGATGATGATGATGATGATGATGATGATGATGATGATGAAGAAGAAATGATTTGTGAATAACAATAGCCGTATCTCTCTTGTTATAAATGCCAAGCCTCTTCAGACTCCAACAATTGCGCTGAAGAGAATTTTTTTTTTCAAAGATTGTCCTATGATAAGACATACATCCTGCTTACTTCGTGTAATCTGTTCTGTCTTAAACGCAACCCTAAGCAATCCATCTCCTTGCTTTATGGCGTTAGATTGTGCTTTTTCGACCATAGAAGCATCCATTATTTCTTCATGCATAACAAAATTGTTTGTGGCTAAGTGACAGTTTCTTTTTGTTGGTCCAAACGATCCCCGTTCAAAACTGATTCATCAACGTCATCAGGACGTGCTTATTGTACGGATCGACACAACCCTTTCACCTCTACTCATAGTTAGCTTTGTGTATCCTTACATATTTGCAGAATGAACGGCCGATTAATGCTTGTTTGTCCATGTTTCGGTGTCCACTGCAAATATTGAGAAGGTCATCGTAACTTCACTAGATACACCGCAAATTTTCTTCTCTCTCGAATGACATATTGGAAGTCGATGACTATAGAAATGCTTTTCTTTTTACAGGGTACAATTGTCAGGATAAATTCAATGCAACTTGTAATACCGTCTAACAAATTTTCCAATTATTTCTCAATGTTAATGTCGTGCTATCATCGATCAAGACATTTTGGAAGTCTTTAAAATCTCACGGACGAGCATTATCCGTGATGCCGTTATTTCAGCGTAGGGCGTGGCGAACGTAACTATCCGAAGATTCCCGACCTTTGTAGCTCTAAGCAATCTTTGTACCCTTACCACCCCTCACGGTCCGCACTATAATTCATTTACATAAATTAATTAATGAGATTATATGATTTTTCCCGTTGTTCTTCTTGCCTTAAACAAACTATGTGAGTGTTACATTCACCAAGATATCTTTCCTCAACATGAGGTACAGAAATTTCAACTCGTTTTCTGTTTGTAAATATTAACGATTTTCCCAGAGTAATTTTACTTTATTTTCATCGTTGATGTTCATTAGCCTTTTTCTATAGAAGCATGTCTTTGTTGCTTCAAGTTTATTCGTTATCTGTGTAAAAATTACCGACGTTCATTGATATATACGAGGATAAATCTTTACATAAAAATTTAATATTTTTCCTTGCTTCTGACGAATTTTTCTATATCTTAATAATACGTTTACTTTTGGCAGCCATTTTTCGGTGTTCTCCTACGTCTTTTGATTTCTGTATCACTTATTCCGTCAGCACTTACGACGCTACCCAGATAGTTAAATATTTCTGCTTGCTGGATACTAACGTCTCCAAGCCTTAGGTCATACTTTTTGCCGTTTTTGATGCTTAAAACCATACATTCTCTCTTACTACAGTCAATAGTCCTTTATCCCGCTTCCTTTACTAGTTTGCCTTCATATTCCAGCAGTATTCTTTTTAGATCAACCATTAACAGAGAGTCATCTGCATTAGGGCTGGTCAATTTTGGGAGCGTGTTATTGCATTGATTTTGAAAGTTGGAATTTAACATGATATATAACGATACAAAACATTGCCAAATCGTTACTGATTTTTTTTTTAGATAACGAATTTAAAAATTATGTTTAAGGTTTAAAATCGCAGCGTTGTAATTTCATTCTGTTTATCAGGGAAAACCTTATAGCAGTTTTAAAATTTATAATTCAGTGAAGTTTTACAAATTGTATAGGGAAAAGATGCATGTCAGAAGTACGTTATTATTAAATCATTGTGCTATGAAATAAGACTTATTTACTTCAAAAAGGAAATTATACTGAACAATTTTGCTATATTATGATGTAATATTCTATACAATGCTTTAGGTGTAGTGCAATTTTCAATAAACAATGCAAATTTAAAACATTTTGTTTAATAATTTATGCCCAGCAGTATTATGGTGTTATATAGATTTTTATCAATTTTTTCTTTTGTTTTTATTAATTACGATCTCTCAAATGATCTTATAAATGATCTAATAATTCTTATTCAGTATGTCGTCTTTTTTATAATCTTTTACAAAATTACATATTTTGCTTGTGGTGATTCATAATTAGAATTGTGTTTTGAATATATGTTGCATTCGATGTATCTAATACAAAAGATATTAATTTTATTTGGATTTATTCTTGATTTATTCAGTTTGATACTTAAATCCGAACGCTCAAAAATTGGTGAAAGCTTTTAATCTAATATTTGGCGTCAGTACTTATCATAATAACCCCCAATTTTCACACTGAAGACAATGTTGATTTTCTAAAGGAAAATAGAAAAAAAACTTGCCCTAATCTGCATAACTTATATTGTTAAGATTTTGTCCTCCTATAATAAATCCCTGAGGATAGCCACTTTGTATAGAAATATTGTTGACAGTTTTTTTGGAGAACTAGGGATGCCCGAACGTCTAGTTTCCCCGTCTCGGTCTTGCTAGTAGAGTTCAAAGGAAAGGATGAACCAATACAGTTTGGTACCAGCGCGGCTGCAGGAGTTACCGGAAGGTAGCACAGTGCCATCTATCCGCTTTAGGGGCTTCACTCCAGGTTTGTGTAGGGTTTATTCCTTAGCCTTTCCTTCTCCCGAAGATTTCCACAAGGCAGTGGAGCTATTTAACCCATAGCTGGGATTTGGTTTATGGGCACTAGGGTGTGTCCACACACCAGTGGACCTGCATGCCCTACGTTAAGGGGGCCAAAATCCTCCCCCGTCTCCTGTAGTTTAGCCCAAGTCTGCAAGGTTCTCGGTTGCCATGTGGCGTTAGTACTTATATTAACCCCCCCAATTTTCACACTGAGGACAATGTCGATTTTCTAAAAGAAAGTAGAAAAAACACTTGCCCTAATCTGCATAATTTATATTGTTAAGTTTTTGTCCTATAATAAATCCCTGAGGATAGCAACTCTGTATAGAAAATTTGAACACCTAACAGGATTTAAAACAATTACTCTGCAGTTTGTCGTTAATAATTCTTTTAGTAAACGATATGCCAGACGTTCTTAATTTATCTCACATTTTCTTTCAAGTGAATATTGAATTTGCTTTGACTTTTGGCAAATGAACCGTGCAACCTGCTCGCTTCCACCTCGGACTTTTTATATAAACATTGTACGTTCAAACGATATTGGTGGCCACATTGTTAAACTTTCAGTACCCAGCCGCCGCTGGCTCGGACGGAAGGACCTGTTGAAATTAATATTATCCCTAGACGGAAGTAAAGTGAGCAAGCATTTTTCGAGTTGCTCATGTAAAACATATTCTTTACAACGTTACCTCGAGAGAAGTTTCTTTTAATGTAACACGCTCTTTCCCCTTGTGAATAATAATTCCTGTGGTACTGGCAAGAACATTCATTTTTAATTATGTCATTCGTCCGCTTCGTTGTACATACTGTTGCTTCAGCCACAAAAGAAAAGAAAGTAAAGAATCAAGTATTACTCGAAGACTCCAAAGTTTTATGTACAGATGAAACTGACTGAAGGTTTGAATTCGTTTTTAAAGCTTATTTTCGATAGGATTTTATAAAATTCGAATACATTTTTTATTTTTTCTTGTAAATATTTCTCAATAATTAGTGATTGATTTATTGATTCGGCTTATCAACCTTTTTAGGGTTAATTAAAGCCAGAAAATATTTTTAGTTTCTAAGATTTTTTTAGATAATAATGGTTCCGTCTTACTTGTTAATCGTTAATAAGAAGCTTATATGAAGAGTGGATTCATACCTTTCCTCAGCGTATTTGCGCGTAAGGGAATATAACGACCCCGACTGGAATTAGAACTCAGCTCTCCGATTAACAATTCCGAGCCATTATTCATTACACCAACTGCACATCAAAGCTTACAGCAACTGGTATTCGCAAGCGGTCACGCATCACTGTACTGATCAGGCACAACGTTACTTAACTTCGCTGATCGTATGCGAACCGTTTTTTTTCAACGTGATCTGAC